CAGCTAAATGGTTTAATGAGCCAGTTAGCTGGATGACTAAGTTTGTACTTCAGTTTAGTTTACGATGGACTATTTTCCGCAATTGCAGCCTAAGTGCGTGTTTTTTATTTCTATGGCAGGAATCTTGTGATTATCCTAGCCATAAAATCTAGACATTCGGCAGTCCTTTGATGTTGCCTTTGACCTCGGCATGCTGAGATGTTTAGCCCTGTATGATGCGGCGACTTGTGGACACACCACCAACACATGCACCGCCGTTTCCTTACCTCCAATACATGTGCTGCTCAAAGGACTGCCTGTAACAACTATGGTGAATAAATGTTTGTTAAAAGAACAATGCCCTATAATAGCACTCGTTGCTATCCTGATCTGTGGTTTGCTTAGTTTCATTAGAACCTTGGTTAAACAACTATTTATTGCTGGCAGCGCTTCTCTAGTTTGCCTATGGTCTTCTAGACTATTCCAAAGATGTGTGTGTTGATGAGTATAGTACTATATCTTAATGGCTAGCTGACCAATAATTAACTGGCTAATTCAAGCATCAGATTGTGACAGTTCTATGAAATTAATGGAATTTTTATCAATAATGTATGTGAAAATTAACCTTAAGTTAATTTTATGTATTTTGATGCCTCCGGGTGCTTAAGGTTAAATTTTGTGACCATGCTTTACATAGGTAATACATAAAATAATTAATTATTAATTTTTGAAGTAGATTGTTGTGTAAGTATCATAAGAGACAAAGCAAATGCCAGAAAAATCTTATAGCTGTCGATAGATGCCAGTATGTTAACTTGTTTAGATAACACTAAATAACTGAACAGGTGACGAGTAACAGCTTGAAAGATGAAGTTAGGTGATGTAGAAAAATTTTGTGTTGTTTTTTAATGTTACAGATACACAAGGTTGGGGTGTTTCACCACGAGGTGCAGGTTACCTTTTCGGTTCAGACGTAGTTGCTCAATTCAATGTGTCTAATGATATCGACATGATATGCCGCGCCCATCAACTTGTCATGGAAGGATACAAGTGGCACTTCAATGAGACGGTTCTTACTGTGTGGTCTGCACCCAACTATTGTTATAGGTTAGTACTAAATCCTGTTTTTTATTACTACCTTACTATTATCATATTCAACATCTTTCATAAGTGCACTGCTTATCAAAATTTTCTAAAACAAAGCAGTAGGGAACAAGTGCGTGTGCAAGCACAGCTGTCCTTCCTATCTTGATCCTATATTGATATTCCATCATTCTCTTAGTCTAATAGTAAGATAATCTGACACGACCAGAGAAAGACCAGGTGCTGAACCAACGACTTTATGTGTTTATCTTGCATGGGGGTAAAGCGCCGCCACTTCCTGACTCCGGTCTGCTACATTTTGAAATATATTTGTTTCGTCAATGTGTTGTCCACTACTAAATATTTACTTCTCCCAAAGAGCCACTGCCACTATGTGTGAGTGCGGTATATATATCTATATATATAAGCGAACTACTACTGACTGACTGCCTCATCACAATATCTCTAAAACTATACACTCTTTGATTTGATTGACTTGAAAATTAGTATAGTTACTCATTTCGCAATGTAGACGCTCACTAAGAACGCATTTTACGTTAGTCCAATCAAAAACAAAATCTTGATATTTTACATCCGTGCACCCAGCGAAGCGTGGTTATTAATAATGCAAACATGTTAAAGATTTTAAAACTGTCAAGGTCAAGTCAAGGCTTAAAATCTGGTATATATGACTTGTTACTTACTTATAATAATATTGTAAGTAACAAGTCTACACTTAAAATATGGACAACAATAATACCTCAAATATGCCGTGAGGTCTAATTTGGATTTGATAATAGACTGAAATTAAAATTATTATAATACTATTTTCATAGTTTGTTAATTAACAAAATGTGCTATAAGTAACACATCAATAAGGAAATTTTTTCACTGTTTTGTGTCATGTGATCTGTTTACCTAATTATATATTGTTGACCAAAGGTTATAAAAAAACTGAACCTGCTTTTAACATACAACATGCCTTACTTTACAAAATGAATAAATCAGTATTCCATATCCTTACAGATGTGGAAATGTAGCAGCAATTTTAGAACTTAATGAGAATCTTCAGCGTGAGTTCACCATATTTGAAGCGGCGCCGCAGGAATCTAGAGGAGTACCTTCAAAGAAACCTCAAGCTGACTACTTTTTATAATGTCCCACACAATAGACAATTGAAATAAGGATGAACGAAGTTTAGTATTACAGTTTTATTGTAGTGATAAAACATTTAAATGTGGAGTTAATTTCATTGTGATGTAAAGACTGCTAAGGGTGTCCATTTTGCATTTGTTTATGTAAGACCAATGTGTTATTGTATGTACTATGTTCAAAAATTATTTCTTTTGCAAGCGCTGGACACAGCATCATAAAAGTAAGTTATTTTTTACTTTACTAATATTCTTTTAAAATAATATCAGGGCTTTTACATGCAACTTTAATCACATCATGCATAAGTATTATTTATAGTAAAATACACTACTACAAAATTGTTAACGGCCATCATTAAGTTGCAGATGCTCCGACATATATCTTGTTCTAAACTGAGCAATGACTAGGATAGTACAATCTATTCGGTAGTTAATAGTTTAAGTAGTTTCATTGATATGCAAAAGAGAGCACTGCCATAATTATAAAGAGTGTTGTAATTTGACTAGTTTTACAGTTCATTCAATGCACTTAAGAATGCATGGCAAGTGTAGTGTATATTAACAAGTGTTAATTCTAGGACTTCGCCTACCCTCTTTCTCTCCTAATTTATTTTATAAAATAGAGAGCATAAACAATAATACTTAGCTTGTTTTGACGATTTATGAGAATTATGTGGCAGGGAGGGTAACTCTTACAAGTTTTTATTAGCCCTTGTGACTTAACAAAACATCCTCTAGCACTGCCATAATTATAAAGAGTGTTGTAATTTGACTAGTTTTACAGTTCATTCAATGCACTTAAGAATGCATGGCAAGTGTAATGTACTTTAACAAGTGTTAATTCTTGGACCTCGCCTACCCTCTTTCTCCCCTAATTTAATTTATAAAATAGAGAGCATAAACAATAATACTTAGCTTGTTTTGACGATTTATGAGAATTATGAGGCAGGGAGGGTAACTCTTATAAGTTTTTATTAGCCCTTGTGACTTAACAAAACATCCTCTAGTACAAAAATAGATATATTTAAAGATACTGCTTATTACCTACTCTGTGTATCCAATCTTTTAATGCAAGATTATATCGTAATTATAGGGGAGAACGAGATAATAAAAGGTGTAAAAGGGAAAACTAATGATGTTTGAAAATTTTATGATAGCTTATGCATTAAAATAAGATTGGTGTAGCTGAAAGTGAATGTTACTAGTTTTAAAAACTATCTAAATATAGTGTGTGTGTGGTTTATCAGCTTTCATCTTATTTCTTCAACATTATCAACACTAAAGGCAAATTTACATTGCGTCAGTAATTGACGTTAGTCAACTGGCACTTCTTTGGTAGTGAAATCTACTTGTTAAGTTGAATCATTGAATTTATTTGATATGCAGAGGTGCAAACTGACTGACATATTTTAATGATATTAATATTCATCTGCACATATGTATTTATACAATACTGTTAGTAATGCTGGCCAAACTTTGTTACAATTCAGTGCTGGTTTGACTTGAAAACAATCTATATAATAATAGCATTACTTAGACAATACTGATTGACTTTAGTTTAGTGCTATAACTTATTATTGACCAAATGCAAATTTGTCTTAATTTTTATAAAAACATGTTTTTTCTCATCAACCAACATTTTCAACAATGTTTACTTGGGTTATTATAATAAAATAAGCAGATCTAATTACATTGTTATTTTACGTGGTAGAGCCATGCTACAGCTATATTAGTAGTATAGTTGTAGTACGAATGGGTCGGCTCGCCCGGGGAAGGACCATGCTCTCACAGAAAACCAGCGTAAAATAGCAGCTTAACGCTGCTGTGTTTCGTATGGTAAGTGTAGAGAACCGGAGACCGTTTTTACTGGCAAAGAGGCATTCCATCTTAGTCCTCACGGGTGACAACGCATCTGCATCTTGAGTCTTTATTGAAGATAGATGTAGATGTCTATGGGCTACAGCAACCACTTACCATTAGGTGGACTGTGTGCTCGTTTGTTACCTTACACTATAAAAACAAAAACATTGATTAATTTATTTTCTCTAATTAAGTTATGATATAATTAAAAACAATTGTAGGTTTTTAATCTTTAAAGTTAATATTAACAATAGTTCACTAATTTTGATTGCAATTACTGAATACTACTACTTGAATTGAAAATGAATTACTCAATCCTTGTCTATATTTAGCATAAAATAATTTAAAGGCCAGCACTGCCTCTATTCCTGTGGTATTGCAGTTGTTCATAGGCAGCAGTAGTCACCATTATGTGAGCTGCATGCTTGTTTGCTGTAATAATAATAATTCTAAAATCGTGATCTCAAGCATTACTGTTTCCTATTCTATGTAGATTTGACATGTCAAGTTTTAAATCTGATAATTTCTTTGCATTTTTGTGATTACAACTTATGATTTTTGTTTATTTTGATTTGCCAAAAATTTTAATTCGAACAATTATTTTATTAATTACCTCATTTAAAAATGTTACTTACTTTAGACTGACTCCCTATTATTCCGTGCAGTTTTAACTATTTTGGAATGAATTGGTGTTGTCATACTTCATTTTTATATGATAATTAATAAAACAAAATGTAATTAAAGTGTATTTTATTTAAAATATCACAACCTATACATACCTCTATGAGGTATATATATTATATTATACACAAATATATTAAATAAATAAAAACATATATATATATATATAAGATATATATATGTTTGTTGTATGTTATGATATGTATATATATATAAGAGGTAGGTAGGTCAAAAAATCACATTTTTTTATATCACATTGCATATATCTGTCAAAATGTCACTACATTTTGTAGATACCTTTATGTCTACTATATTATCTGCTCTAGTTGGCCCAATATTTAAAATGGCAACTTCTTTCTTTTCTTCCTTTGCTTGCAATATAATTCTGTAGCTTGAATACACTGTAAGACTAGAACCCAATACAAATACTGCATCACTTCCACTTACTTCACCACGGACTCTTTCAACTCTGTGCCTTGGAACATTATCACCAAAAAACACAATGTCTGGTTTTAGCGGCCCTTCACATTTAGGACATAATGGTACTTTAAATTTTTTAATTTGTTCCTGAAATAAAATATTATTTAGAAACATAATTACTATCATACTTAATAGTTAAACATCAATATTTTCAAATCAATATTTAAGAAACAGCTTATAAAACATTTTTTTTTGTTTTTTAAAAAACATTGTTTCATAAAAGATGTTCCACTTGTCATAATCATATTGACCAATTAAAATTGGAGAGATTACATTATTTATTAGCCATATTAGACTGAAAAAAAACCAATTTCACTAAAATCGAAGTCTAGAGTTTTGTACTTCACAGAAAAGTATGATAAAAAGTTTAAATTTTTTTTATATAGAAGAGGAGGCAAACGAGCATGCGGCTCACGTGATGGTAAGTGACTACCGCCGCCCATGAACAACCGCAACACCAGGGGAATTGCAGATGCGTTGCTGGCCTTTTAGAAAGGTGTAAGCTCTTTTTTTTTTATAGGATAAGGGTGACAAACGAGCACACAGTCCACCTGATGGTAAGTGGTTGCTGCGGCCCATAGACATCTACACCTATCCTCGTTTGCGAATTAAAATGCAGATGCGTTGTCACCCGTGAGGACTAAGATGGAATGCCTCATTTCCAGTAAAAAGGGCCTCTGGCCACCTGCACTCACCAAGCGAAACGCAGAGGTAAACCTCTACTTCACGCTGGTATTCTGTGTGAGGTCGTGATACCACCCCGGTTCGAGCCGGCCCATCCGTGCGACAGCAATTCTGCCGCGTGGCTCTACCACTGTTAAATAGGTAGGTTTTCTTGAAGGTTCCTAAGTCGTATCGGTCCTGAAAATTCGCTGGTGGTAATTGATTCCACAAGGAAGTTCTGCGAGGGAGAAAACTTCTAAATCGCACAGTGGTGGACCGCCAATCATCCAGATGGTATGGATGGTGTAACGCGAGTTTTGTCGCGATGTGCGATGGTGAAATTGAACGGCTGGAATTAGTCCGAACAATTCCTCAGAGCACTCCCCGTGATAGATGCGATAAAATACGCAAAGAGATGCAACATCTCTACGCAGTGCCAGTGTATCGAGCCGATCAGAAAGAACTCGGTCGTCGACGATTCGAACCGCTCTGCGCTGGATGCGGTCAAGTGGAAGGAGCTGGCACTGGGGTGCCCCGGCCCAGCGATGAGAACAGTATTCCATGTGGGGCCGAACTTGCGCTTTGTAAAGTTGCAAGCGATGTGCCGGCATGAAATACTGTCTCGCTCTGCTGAGCACGCCAAGCTTTTTAAGTGACCACGAAACTGCACACTATTCGATATGTCGACGCCAAGGATTCCGATACTAGCTGAGGCAGCAAGGGGAGTGCCTTGAAACTGAGGAGATATGACAAAGGGGTTCTTTTTAGCGGTAAACGCGCAAACTTGTGTCGTCTGGGGATTGAACTGGACTAGATTTAGTCGGCCCCAATCCGAGACTTTGTTAAGCAAAGACTCGACTTGAGACACAAGTTTGTCCCGGTACTCAGCGACGTTTTCCCGAGAAATATTGGCACGGCCGGTATATAAGGCATCACCAGTGCTGTCGTCTGCATAGCAATGAATGCTACCAGTTAGCAACATATCATTGATCTGCAGTAGAAACAGCGTTGGTGATAGCACGCAGCCTTGTGGAACACCAGCGTCGATAGGTATGAAATCAAAGCATGCACCGTCTACTACGACCTTGATGCTCCGATCAGCAAGGAAACTGGTGATCCATTTGCACAATTTCTCGGGAAGCCCATAGGAAGGAAGCTTCGAAAGAAGCGCTTTGTGCCAAACCCGAAGGCCTTCGCTATGTCCAAACTAACGGCCAATGCCTCCCCCTTGGACTCTACTGCCTCCGCCCATCTATGAGTCAGATAGACTAGAAGATCACCAGCTGATCGACCTCGACGAAAACCGTACTGGCGGTCACTAATCAGCTGGTGATCCTCAAGGTACCTCATGAGCTGGCAGTTTATAATGAATTCCATTATTTTGGAGAACAAGGAGGTGATGGCAATAGGCCTGTAATTGGACGGGTCTGAGCGGTCGCCTTTTTTAGGGATCGGGTGGACCAAAGCTGTCTTCCATGAATTCGGGACTACGCCTTGGGAGTAGGAGTACCGGAAAAGACGCCTTAAAACCGGTGCCAACTCCGAAGCACACGTCTTCAGCACAATGGGAGGGACTCCATCGGGCCCACTCGACTTGCTGACGTCCAGGGAGAAGAGTGCTTTGCGAACCGAGCGCTGAGTAAACCGCACATCCGGCATGGAGCACTCACATCGCGGGATGGTCGGCGGTGTGTTCCCCCCGTCATGTAGAGTCGAGTTGGACGCAAAAAGAGAGCTCAACAGATCGGCTTTCTCCTTTGCAGCATGGGCCAGTGAGTCGTCCTCTCTGTGCAGAGATGGAAGAGATGGCTGACAGAAGTTCCCTTGGACAGCCTTGGCGAGAGACCAGAATAAAAAATTACATACCCTGAAGTACCACATCAGCAACAGAATCGGCAACAACGCTGGGATCTTCCGGCGAGAAGCAAACCCGCCCCCAAGGGTAGGATGTAAAAAAAGACCGCATCCCGTCCCAATCAGCTGACCTATAGTGCCAAACACGGCGGCAAGCTGCAGATCGCAACTGCCATTGGAGCTTGAGTGGCACCGTACTCCGGATCAGACAATGGTCCGAAGAGCCCAGAGGGGCATCGACGGAGACCTGATATCCGTCCGGATGAGAGGTCAGCAGAAGGTCCAACAGGGAAGGTACATGGTCTTCCACATCTGGGATCCGCGTAGGCGAAGTAACCAGTTGTGTTAGACCATTTGCCAAAGCAAAGTCATAGACAGATCTACCCGCATGATCGGTTAAACGAGAACCAAGCCATTCAGCGTGGTGGGCAAAAAAAAAAAAATAAATGTAGATAACATCTCATGATTAATAATCTTATTGACATTTTTAAGCTAATAAATACCTACTTCCGATAGGTCAACATCACCATCGGGCCTTATCATTGTGAATGTGCTTTCCATATCAGGATTCTCATCCATCATTTTCTTCTGTAGTTCTGATCTCTTGACCTCATATGAACACTGCAGACACTTAACTATGTATCCAGTCCCATGAAGCTCAATAACATTCTCTGATCCAGCTTTATGATGCAGCCTGTCTACATTCTGTGTTACTATTGCAGTAACTTTTTGAGCCTGTGGATTAATAGTACCCATTTAGTTGATACAAACAGCATCATGTAAAAAACCATAATAAAATAAAGATTTGTATGCCTAGAACATAATATGGACTTCTTATAAACATATGTCGACATAATATGTTTATAGTCACTGGTTACACACTTTACCATCAAGTAAACTTAGCACATTACTTGATGGGGAAAGCTTGCGCATCACCGTAGGGATCTGACTAGGAGCGGCGATTTGTCAACCCCATCAGTGTCCCTGTGGTAGCGGCGTCGACGAATTTGGGCTTTACGGACTTTCATGTAAGAAAAGTGCTGTTAGGTTTTCAAGGCACGATTCTTTGAACAATGTAATTCAAAGGGCTCTTGTCTCTATAATGTTTCCTCGGTTTTAGAGCCTTGTGGAATACTAGACGATATATCCTGCTCCTGCCATCATCTCTATATAAGTAGATATATATATAGACAATGGCAGGAGACCCAATGGTATGACATTGGTCACTTCGAAGAGAGGTAAAGCCCTAGTGTGGGATGCTACTTGCGTAGACACTCTGGCGGCCTCTCATCCCAGGGCTACTTCGTTTAGAGAAGGGGCGGCATCAGAGGTAGCTGAACTAAGTGGCGCAAATATGAGTGAGTATAAGAGATGACTACATATGTACATATTTGTGCCATTTGCTAGAGACTATTGGTCCGTGGGGCTCACGTGCGGTGAAGTTCCTAAAGGAACTCTATCCGTGACTGGTTGTTGGAGCATGCTGGTGATAAGAGCGCTGATTTTTTTCTCGCTCAAAGGCTAAATATAGCCATTCAGCGAGGAAACGCAGCCAGCGTTCTTGACACAATACCACGGGGAGGAGTAGGACTGTATCATGATTATTAATTTTAGTTTTTTAATATTGTATGTATATATATAATAATCTATATTGAATAAAAATCTGTTTATATTTTATAAACAATTTTGAATTCTATTGTATGTATAGATATATGTCAGCATGACAGAATCTCTTATCTCCTCATTATATCCTGTTGGTGTAGTTGGAGGATACCATGTAGAGATGTCATACAGATCTTATAGTTTCTGATAGTGTTACCATCTCATAATGCTGGATACCAAATACCCAGACCGGCGACAGAAAGTTTAAGAGGATTGTGAAGATGTTCATTTTTATACAAAAAGCGATAACATTTTCCCCGTCGTAAACATAGTCTAATTTTCATAATTTCTGAAAATGTAGATGTAATGAAAAACTAGGTACATACGTTTTTATATGAAAGAAATATTGCGTACGATATAAATATGTACGAGGGTGGATTGAAAAGTACTCGGCCTAACCAAGAAAATAAACAAATACTAAATCAGTTATATTTTTATTTTTCTACATAATCACCATCAAGTTCAATACACTTTTGCCACCTCCCCTTCCAAGCATTTAGACCGTTGAAAAAAAATGATTCTTCCTTAGAGTCAAAATATGCGTCTACAGCTGCTTTGACCTCGTCGTTTGTCGAAAATCTTTGACCTCCCAAATGCTTTTTTAGGTTAGGGAACAGAAAGAAGTCTGATGGTGCCAGATCAGGTGAATACGGCGGATGCGGTAACAGTTCAAAGCCACAGTTGTGAATTTCAGCCATTGACTGTACTGACGTGTGAACACGGGCGTTATCTTGATGAAACAGGACTTTTCTTCTGAGCATTCCTCGACGTTTTTCTTTTATTTCCTCTCGTAAACGACGTAATAAGGTGCAGTAGTAATCAGAGTTTATATTCTGACCCCTTTCAAGATAATCAATCATAATCACACCTTTCGAGTTCCAGAATACTGAAGCCATCACCTTATTTGCCGACAAAATCAACTTAGCCTTTTTAGGGGGTGGTGAACCAGGTCTTCTCCACTGTTTTGATTGTTGTTTTGTTTCCGGTGTACAGTAATGAACCCATGTTTCGTCCATAGTAACAAAACGATTCAAAAAATCATCTGCATCGGCTTCAAATAACTCCAAACAGTCGCGTGAAATAGTCAATCGCGTCCTTTTTTGTTTAACTGAAAGCAGTCGCGGAACCCACCTCGCAGACACCTTGTGGAAACCCAACTCGTTGACAATGATGTTTTGAGTTCGTTCATAAGAGATGCCTATAATCTAGGCTATCTCTCTAATTTTTAATCTGCGGTCTCCCATTATTAAATCAAGTACTTTCTTAATATTTTCGTCAGTAGTTGACGTCGAAGGCCTTCCAGAGCGGGGTTCATCTTTCACACTCTCTCTACCACGCTTAAATTCTGCTATCCATTTTTTGATGGATGAATATGACAGAGCACAATCGCCTAATGTACTGACCATGTCATCATGGATGGCTTTTGATGATAGCCCCTTCTTATGGAAGTACTTAATGACGGCACGCTGCTCGATTTGCTCCATTCGCGGAAATTATGTCCGATTACTTTGTTAATAAATTTATAAAATCACAACTAATTATCGCACACGTTTCGAACTTCACACAATGAACTAGTCTGAACTGAACTAAATAATGTGGGTAGATTTGATTTTTAGAATTGAATGGATCTGTGTTAGGCCGAGTACTTTTCAATCCACCCTCGTAATTAGCACCTAATATCTATATTTTTGACTTAAAAACTTCCTCGAGCGTTTATATTTTTTGAATTATACTAAACTGAATTACTAAAAAAGAAAAACGTACAGATTAAAGTGATAGATTAAAGTGTACTGAATCTAATGAAATTATCTAATTTCGTAAAGGTTTAGGGGAGTGAAAACATTATCGCCCCGAAATAATATTTCAAAAAGGAAATGTAGGCAATTGCCTCCAAAACTTGTGCAACTCTCTATATCACACAATACGGCGATACGGAGCGAGCGGTATGCAACAGACAGGGCCGGCCCTACCATAGGGCGAACGGAGCGGCCGCTCCAGGCGCCAAGTCCCAGGAGGCGCCTTAGTCAATTTTTTTGTAATAGCATAGCTACCTACATAATAGAAAAATACATTCTTTTAGATTATTTATAATGCACGCTCCTTAGAAGCTTAGTCTCTGTTCCATTTCTTTGGTCATGTGCCTGAGTTTATTGGTGGAAATTTTCTAGCTTTTCGATATTTTGGTTTCGAACGTGTGACTAGTTGGTACTTGGTATATGTGCGTATGGCCTTATTTGTTGAGATGAGCGCGGCATTCTTCAGCGCTTATTTGTATTTTTTACAAACTCAACAAAAAGATGGGAAGTTATTTCAAAACCTTCACATGTTTAACTTTAAAGAAGGTGTATCAAATAAGATGCGAAAGTAGAGTCAACAGCTTGCAAGCGGTGCGGTATCAGTACGCTGAAATAAAAAGTACCTTGGAAGAAGAGTATCGACACAAATGATCCCGTGGCAAGTTTGGAAACTAAATCACTTGCAGCCAATTTTAAGAAATTCGAGTTTTTACTGTCTTTAGTCATTTGGTACGACGTTTTATTCCACGTTAATCTTGTCGGCACATGCATGCAAGCAGATCGCATAGATTTATCAGATGCTACAAAACAGATGCACAAAAAAGAATATATATAGAGAGAGACGAATGATTAACAAAGGCTCTCATTGCAAAGATACAGCTGAAAAAGCTGAAATAAACTTGGAGTTTGAAAGAATCCGCGAACGAAAAAAGAAGAAAATGTTCTTATAGCCCAGGAGGAATCGGCGCATGAGTAGCAAAACTGTTCCACCTCAATTTTTTCATGCGATTCTCTTCAAGTTGTCCTGCTGATGATATAAATGCATGTTGCCACGGGGCAACTCAGTGCCATATTGTTTAAACCGATTTTTTCCAATTGGAAGGAATTGTTATTTTTAAACTGGACAATTTTTTTTGTATTCTTTGATAAAATACAAATAAAAAAGTCCCATTACTTTTTACGATAAAGTTAACATTTTCGGAGTTATGAATTATTAAATGTTTGAAAGATGCCAAATTCGGATAATTTTGACTCTAAATATATAAAGAAAAAAAATACGAAAATATTCCAGATCCCGAAATGTTATTCAGAACAAATGTTTGCTATCCAATGTTAGAACACCGACCGATTCGTTGCGGCACCAATTTTCGACAACTTTTAGCTGTGGCGGCGAACAAATATTTCATGACACGCCGGGCGTGTCAAGCGCCACAGACGCCTATTGTGCCATCCGCCATGTGTAAAAGTAATGTTCTTTTTTATGCTTTTTTTACTTGTTTAGACCTAATTAAGTTTATTTGACATCAAACATAAGTTACAAATGGAAGGATACTTGTTTTTCGTGGGTAACTACGTGTTTTTTTTACGCGTTTTGTTTGAAATTGAGAGAAAGTGACTTTTTTTATGAAGAGATTACAAACCTTTTGTACTATTTTTTGTTGTTATAAAAAAATCATTTATATAAGTAGGTACAGCTAAATCACCCTGGAAACCTTGGTTTTTATTAAATTAAATTTTCACCTAATAATAACATTTGTAAATATCAAACAATAAAGAACCTTAATTTGAAAAAAAAGGTATATCATTCATTGATATTTACAAATGTTAAATATTATTTAATGTTATACAAATGTAAAGTCAATCTGAAAACGTCTAATTAGTAAGAATAGTAAAACAAGTGTTTTCAAAAGGAAAAAAACGCCGGCGCTATACGGCGGCGGATTGACAAAAGACTATTTATTAGCGAACTTCTTTTATGCATGAACGGTTTCGAACTGTTTCAAGCAAAAATAAACCTTATACCATATTACAAGAGCACATGGTACTTCGTAGGTCTATTCGGCCATATGATAGTTATAAGACGGCAGTTCAACCATTTTAAGCAAAATTAAACAATAAGACAAACGCCTTGTTTTTTTTAACAGGAGAATTGTTTTCCAGAAATTTATTTACGACTTGAGTTTGTGAGCGATCGCAATGAGTGCTATTATTTGTTACTTATTAGACAATTTTTCCATAACATGATTTAAAACCCACAAAGTAAAAATAGTACCATGT